CAATAAGTTATAGATGCAAATCCAAGGATTACTTTCTAAAAGTTAATTGGTTCATTATTTTCAATACTCTTCTTGCACACAATGTGGAGCTCGGGTTGCATTGATTTTTTTCTACCACACCAAGTTTTATCTCAGTATTTGTAAAACTCACCGAGATAAAGTCATTTTTGTGTTTGCAATGGGAAATTAAATTGTAAATGGCCTGAACCTCTATAGTGCTTTATCAAGTCCATGGACTGCCATCTTTGTACAAAGAGTCCTCAATTGTATCAAACATTTTTTATTGAAATTTGTGTGATATTTTGCTAACAGAAAGAAGCTGGCTGGACTCTAGCAGTTAATGGCAAAGATCTTACACAATAACTATGGCACGTCTTACATGAGGACAGAAGGAGATTAATATTTTTGTTGTTTTTTTTATTCTAAAATAAACCAAATGACTTAACTTTTAGAAATGCTCTATAAAATGTTTAATTTCTGTTTCTAAAAGCTAAGGCTATTGATACAATGATGTGTTGATTAGAAAGTGTGAAGTAATAAATTTTAGGTTAGGAAAAGTAATTTGACACACATGCAGGACTGATGAAATTGCAATGACAAATGTTGTTATAGATTATATGGAGAAAAACATCGGATTTTTCATTTACCTTTCCCTTCAGAACTATCTGAACACCAAGGCTGTGTAATCAGGGCCTGCAGTCCATGCTAGATCCACAAACAGGCACATCACATCCAAAATAGCTGATGGAGAACGGTTTGCTGCTTTTTTCCTTATGTCCTCAAAGGCAAGAAACCAAAAGGTTGAGGTTTGCTGATTTTTTTTTTATAAAATATGTTCATAACCCATCAGAATACTTCTTCTCAGAGCTGTTTTGTCCAGGTGATTGTGATCACTCGTTGGTTGACAGTAGCTGCATTGTCCTCTTTAGCATTGTTTTATATTTCCAGTCAACAGAGGCAGAAAACACCAACAAAACAGAGGACCAAAAGCTGTTTTTCACCTCCACTGTGCTAAAGTCATGGCTCATGTTGCGTCCTAATTTGTGCTTTTTGGTGTTTGAGAAGATAAGTTGTATTTGAGATGTGTTCATAAAAAATGATCTCCATCCATTAGCATGTACTCCAAAAAACAGAGCTGTCTGTCAGCCAAGTAGATTCCCCAGTGTCCAGCATGTCCAGAATGTGTTAGGACTGGGTCAGTGAGTCCGGACAGGCCCATGTCCCACTCCCACTGGGAGACCTAATAGAAAAGGCCTTCACTCTCCACCTTTCCCATCAGTCTGTTCAATTGGCTTCAGCCTACATGGACTTGTAAATCAAGCACAGGTCTCCAGTCTGTCACCGTTTCCTAAATCACTGGCGTGAGTGCAGGTGTGTCCAACCACCATGACATTCGTGATCAGGGGTACGTGCCGGGAGATTGGCTCGATTCAGCAGTTAGTGGGAAGGTCGACAGGTAGTCGCATCTTAAGGACCGCGAGCCTTCCTCCTAGATTAGCAGAAAGCCAAGAGAATATTTCAACTTCAGGAAGCAGGAGCTTTTTACAATATTTTCTGTAGCGATTTTAGCTTCACATTTTTGGATTAGAGCCACCTGAAAAAAAAGGGAGGGTAGAGAGAGTGAGACGGGGAGTGAGAAAGAGCAGAAGGAGTATGAGAGGGATGTGTGGGGGTTGAATATAAACATATTCTCAACAGAGACAACAAGGAAATTCTCATTAACATAGAAATCAGCCTCTGATGTCTTACCGTGCTCATGCTCTGCTCCTCATGCACTTTACATCGCTGCTGCTACATTAACATAACACTTCTGACGGGGCTTGCACAAAAGGCTAACTGTTTTACATATCACCCTCCTGTTTCCAGAATCCTTACTGTAATTAATCCAAAAAAATACGGTGTTCTTTCTACAACTACAACACAGATGAACCTGTCTTATTTTAATGCTTTTTTTAAGCTTTAGTGCAGCTCGGGCCCTCTGGGAACTTGTTAGAAAGACGTGGTTACTTCCTTGTGTGTCATGTGATCCAACATAATCTATCCAAAGAAATATCTTGGCCTTTTTTTTCAAGGTTGTTTTAGTGCAATGTTGCTCTTTAAGCTAACTTTGTTTTATAAAATGTCAGCAGAAATTAGTCCTAAGTGGGATTGAGCATGTCAGAGAAGTGAGCAGAAATGAAGTTTTTGCATCACAGAGTCTGACAACTGTATGTCATAAATGAGCTAATACACACTTGGTAATGTTCAAACAGACTGATGAGGACCAAAAACGTTAGAGTGGGATAATTTTTTCTGATGCTCAAATTTATAGAGACAGGATGTATCTTAGTAGTAGGTTTCTAATGGATGTGTTTCTAGAAAAATATTGATTCAAAATTCATTTCAGTTAAAATTAGTGTGCATTTTTATAGCAGAGCTATTGAGTTTCAAGTTTTCTTGATTGTCATATGCATGCTGTTTACATAAATGAATCCAGTGAGTGACCCATCAAAATAAAGCAAAGCTCACCATTCACAGTAAACACAGATGCTCAGAGCTGCTCCGGTCATACCACAGTCTCCTTTTCCATCCACGGCAGCAACAGTTTTGGCAGATTTATATTGCAAACTGCTCCTTTTGTTTCTCCTCTCTCTTCTGAAAGGGTTCCAATAAATGCAACTGAATCTTGATGAAGCTATAAAAATCACTCTGTCTCCTCTTCACAGTCAGAAGAAGTCTTCAAAGAGTAGTCCTACATGGATGCTGAAAAATGTTCTTTTTTCTTCTTCTTCTACGTCCTCTTTCTTTCTCTTCTTCATCTATAAAAAAACTTCATGTAATTAATCTTAATTCATCCAACTCAGGTTACGCTGCCTTCCTGCCTAACTGACTGGATAGAAGTGTTAACCATCACACTCTTGGTATCTCTCGATCTCCCACTCTGCTCTCCTCCTCCTCCCTCGCTCCCTCATTGCCCCATCTCTCTCTCTCTCTCTCTCTCTCTCTTACTGCGGAGGTTTGCAGTGCTCCCCCATTCCTGATTGGTCTGCAGTAATAGGCTTAACCCTTCTCTTTTCAGCAAGGGGAGGTATTTCCTTTAGTACTGCTTCTGTCCTCTCTTTCTAACTGTATGAGGCTGTAGTGATTTGATAAATACAAAGCCTTCTACTATGCCTCTGCACAGGGGTGCCTAACGTAGCAACCTGCTGCAGAGACGAAAAAACATGTAGACTCCGTTTTCAGGGGAGAAAACAAGAAAAATGCAGCAATGATTTATTAATTAGCTCTGCCACAACATAATGATCAAGTAATGTGTTTCTGCACCATGAAGGAGATGATTAAGATGGAAAGCCAGCAGAGTGAAGCAACATTTTTTTCTATTGATTTTCTTGTGCTTATATAAGTCTTAATATGGGCGTGCGAGTGAGAGACAACAAGACTGTCAGAGCAGAGATAAATCCTCGTTGCTGTGAGTGGGAGAAATGCAGGAAGGAACAGAATCAGAAAAGGAGGAGCATTGCGCTGCGGTTCTGAGTGATAGTTTCAATTAAACTGCTCTATCAGATCAGTTAAGAGGTTGACCACCTTCTGTACCTTTGTCAGGTGAAACCACTGCCAAAGTGGGGCTGTCCTGGTGCCCAACAACCTTCAGCAAAGACAATGAAGGGAGCTGTCGCGCTGCAGGAACACCTGCACACCTGCTTATTTGTGCAATTATCCAACCAGCCAATCATGTGGCAACAGTACAATGCACAAAATCAAGCAGATAGACTTTAACTGCGATATGACGTAGGTAGCAGATTGGCCGGTCTAAGTATTTCTATCCTCTTACAACAGCCTGTAGAATTTATTTAGGAAAGAAGGGAGAAAATAATCCAGCGAGCTGCAGTTCGGCTGGCAAAAATGCTGTGATCATGAGAGAAGAATGACTAGTTTAACTTGGCAGAAGATTTATAACTCTGCCTTTGCTGATTTCTAAGTTACAGAAATGCTCGATGTGTCAAACAAAGTGTGTGGACTCCAGCAGCAAAAACACGTTTTTGTTTCCTCGCCAAAATAAAACTGTAATCTGCAGTTCTCTGAAACCGAACAGCTGAAGGCTGAAAAAACATGTTCTGGTTTGATGTACTGATGATTTCTTAAATTTATCCTGAGACATGGTGTCAAAAGCATAAATCCATACAGCAATCAACTTGCTTTTTTACATCAGGTGGTGGAAATTTGGCATGAAAAATTGTTTTGACATTGTTTAGAGCATGTGTTGCCAACCAGTCATGACTCTTGGTCTCTTGGTATATATCCTGATAATTCCTTATAAGAAGTTGTCAAAACTATGTTATAAACAATCAATACCTTACCTGTTGTAAATGTGTTAAAACAACCATATTTTTATGAGAAATAAGCTCTCAGTAAATCCAAGTAGGACCATGAGCCAAAGAAGATTGCTGCCATTTTTATACAGCTCTGGCTTAAAATAAGTTTCAGTTTTTGCAATTGTTACTTTACAAACCTTTCCACACATTTACACCACCGTCACTTGCAGTTTGTTTATTTATTTACAGAAAATGCAATGATTTACTTAACAGTATTTTTATATTTGTATTTTTTTATTCATTCAAAACATAAAAAGGATACTTTTACTTTTTTACTTTAAAATTTTACACCTAGCTATAAATTTAAATATGAACAGACAGAACTCATCAAGAAAGGAGTTGTTTCTGCACTCTAAAAAAATGAAGTGTTGAGTTTACTTAACCAAGTTAGGTCAACCAAGATGCATAAAACAAAGCAAAACAATTTAGTAAAGCAATTTAGGCATTTTCTTTAAAAGAAAATCTGTAAATTGCTCAGTTTAATCAACTTGGTTTAGTTGAACCAATTAGGTTAAGTAAATAAACATTACGTTTCTTAAAGTGTGAGTAAAAAGTACTTTTTTGTTTACTTTCCCAATTATTTTGAGCAGTTTTGTGATTTTTACTTAAATACGTTTCATACTGTATCAGTGAAATTTATTTTTTCCAGTCATTTTTTTTACTTTACCTTAGTTATTACTTTCAAGTGCTTTATATATATATATATGTGTGTGTGTGTGTGT